CTCCACCCTTGCTAGCCCAGGCTGTCCCCCACCCACCCCGCTTCACCCCCAGCTCACAGTCCCCAGAGTCCCCCAGGGCCCTGCCCCAACCCCTCCCTGAGCACTTTCCCCCACTGCCTTCTCTGTCCTGGCCTGCAAAGCATTTGGCCCCAACCCACCCACATGTGGCCTGGGGACTCTCTCAGGCCAGGGCTGTGTCCACCTTTGTGTCCCCCTATAACCCCCTCACTACCACCACCCTGTGCCTGGCACAATGTGGCTTCCATAAACACCAGGTTCAGGAGAGGCCTGAGGTCTGGGTAGTTTGTGCTGGGGAGCAGAGGGGTGGTGATGAGCAGTATTTGGAGACTCTGAGCTGGTGCAAGAAGAAAACAGAGGACCCCTATTGTCAGGAAGCGCTCTCTCTGAGGGGAGAGACACAGCCGTGTGTGTGTGTGTGTGTTCTCATAGTACTTTATTTTTTAATTTATTTTTAATTACAGTTGACATATAACATTATATTAGTTTCAGGTGTACCACATAGTGAGTCAACATTTATATAACTTATGATGTGATTACCACGATTAAGTCTAGTGACCATCTGCCACTGTACATGGTTATTACGATATTATTAACGATATTCCCTGTGTTGTACATTACATCCCCATGACTTATTCATTTTATAACTGGAGCCCCAGTCTGAGGGGGGAACACAGCCCTGCCTCAGGGAGCCCCATTCTGAGGGGAGACACAGCCCCACCCTCAGGGAGCCCCATTCTGAGGGGGGGGGGACACAGCTCTGCCCTCAGGGAGCCCCAGTCTGAGGGGGGGGGACACAGCTCTGCCCTCAGGGAGCCCCAGTCTGAGGGGAGACACAGCCCCGCCCTCAGGGAGCCCCAGTCTGAAGATCTTTTCATATCTGAAGCGCTGCTCAGAGCAGGTGACAGGGCTGCCTCTGTCTTGAAGCTCCCCGGAGTGTTGGGGGCCAGGCTGGCCTTCAGGGTGCTGACCTTAGCCTTAACCGTACACCCCACCCCCACCCTGAGACTTCTGGTTTCCATGGGTTTCCTTGTCCCCACTCCGTGGCCCGGACACACCTTCTGCCCCAGTTCCCAGCAGTGACCTTGCTCCCTGCCTGCTTTCCTCCTAGAAAGAGAGATGAAGGGGCAATCTCCCCAGCCTCTCCCCGCTCCCACCACCAGTAGCTGCTGCATTCAGGGACTGGGAGAAGAAGGAAACGGGGTTTGGGTGGGGTGGGGGTTGGTCCACCAGGCCTGGCTCTAAGGAAGACTGGTGACCCCTCAGCTGTAGCTAAAATCATGTCACTGCCTGTGCTGTGGCTGAGTTTGATTTCTTGTTCATTTTATTTATTTATTTACTTACTTGCCCATTTATTTAACAATTACACTTGAACTTTGCCCTCAGGTAGCCCCACCTGTGGCCTCAGCATATGCATTCCAAACATGTGTCTGGGGCTCCAGCAAGCTTGGTCCCCTCCCTGGGGCTTCCCATTTGGCAGGGACCAGCACAGGACAGCGGGTATCTTCCTGGGTGGGGTCTACTAAACCAGGACTCAGCTGAAACCAGGGAAGGGTTCCTTGGAAACCAGACCCAGTAAGTGCTTAAAGCACCACCAGTCAAGGGGACAAGCCTCTTTAAATTTCAAAAAAGCAAGCTATTTAGATTTCAGCACACGTGTATCTTTTTGTGATTTCAAAAAAAGTCAAATTTTGTTTTAAATTATGTATAAGCCCTAAATTGTATACAAGAGGCTCCTTGGTCATTTCAGCATCTGCAGCCTCTATACGAGGAATATTTATAGTCTTAAGCCTAGTCAGGAAAAAATACAAATAAAAAAGAACCACAGTCCCAAGACATCCCTAAAGGAAGTGCACACACATGTTCAGAAGGGACCATTCTCCGTTTGGGTCTCTGTGCTAAAAAGTCAGTTCTGTTACCTCATCTGAAAATTGAGATTCATATTTTCCAGTTCACAGATGGGGGGTGATCCCTCCCATTGCAGGCCTAATCTCCATGTTCTAGAACTTTCCTGCTGCCTTCACCCCGTGTCCTCAGGACTCCTCTCCCTCCAGTTGACAGAAGCTGAGCTGAATATTTGATGTGTGTTGTTATGTTAAAAGGGGACACTGTTGGTGCCCCCCCCCATCATTGCGGGAGAGATTATGTAATAGAGTCCCATGACCAGGCTCTGAAGCGTTGAATCCCTCCAGACCCCACTCCCTCCAATACATCATCACGTTCGTTCACTGATCTGGGGGACTCTGGGACCTGGCCTCAGCTCTTCTCCTTGGGGTGCTGTGTGACCTTGACTGAATCCCCCTCCCACTCTGAGCCAGCATTTCCCCGGCTAGAATGGTTGGAAATGTGAGAATTTTGCAGGCAGGCTGATGGCCCCTCAGAAAGGAGCCTGTGAAAGCTCGGGGCCCTCAGGGACTCTCTGCTAGGTGAGGTCAGAGGAGACCATGATGCGACACACTCTCTCCCCTCCCCTTCCCCCACTCACCCCCAACAGCATCAAGTCAGTGGACATTCTCTGGGCACTACTGCACATCAGGCTGTGCAGTGGTCCCCTGAGAGGAATAAAGATGTAAAAACATTCCCCTGGGGCCCTCTGCGGCGGCAATTTGTTCTCCCCCTCTCTCAGAGACACCCGTGTCTGGTGGAGTTTGGGCCTCTAAGGTCCCTGGAAGATTAAGAAATCAAGTGTGTGTGGGGTGGGGGTGAAGAGAGGTTGGCTGCATCCAAAGGGCCCCCATTTCTGCCCTTCTGCCCAGGGTGCTACTGTGTCCCTCTCGGAGACAGTGCAGAAATGGCGAGAATATCGGCGCCAGTGCCAGCGCTTCCTGACGGAGGCCCCGCCCCCAGCCACAGGTGAGTCCAGATGGGGCCCTCACCCAGACAACTCCCTGCAGGCTTGAAGACCCCCAAGCCATGGCTGGGCATCACTTTCCTCTGTGGGACGCTACCTCTGTGCTTTGCCTTGGCTGTCATCTCACTGCTGTCTATCCCCCCCTTGTCCCCATCTTCGTTCCATCAGGAGCAGGGACCTGGCCTTCCCATTCTCTGTCCTCTTCACCACTTCACGGCCTGTGCAGGGGCTGAAGGCCCAACCAACATATTTGTAGGAATAAATGTATTTGGGGGGAGGTTGTGGGATGGTTTTTAAAGAGCACAGTATTAGAGATAGGCCTGGGTTCAAATTCTGACCCACAATCATAACACAATGACCTTAGGAAGGTTATTTCAGCCATGTGAGCTACCATCTCCCCCTCACCTGCTATGTATAATTTAAAAACAGGCCTTTCATTTATTGAGCACTTACTGTGCTCAGGCATCTATGTAGCATACACTATGTGTCCCCACAAAGCCCATGGGACCAGGATTGCCCCATTTTATAGATGAGAGAACAGAGACATTAAGTAACTTGCTCAAAGTCCCACTGTTGGTAAGTGGCCAAGACCCCTTGCTTGGCACCTGCTGGGTGGGCAGAGAGTTTGGCTTATAGATAAGTGCTCAGCAGCAGTTCGCACAGTGCAGGTTTCGGCCCTGCTAGCCAGCCTCCATGGTGGGGAGGGGAGGGGCAGTGCCACAGCCAGACTGGACTCAGGACTGTCTCTCCTGCACCCAGGCCTGTTCTGCAACCGGACCTTTGATGACTATGCCTGCTGGCCAGACGGGCTGCCCGGCTCCTTCGTGAATGTCAGCTGCCCCTGGTACCTGCCCTGGGCCAACAGCGGTGAGTCCCCTGCCCTACACACGGACTAACCTTCCCCAAGTCCAGGAGGCCGGGGTGGGGGATGCAGTTGGGGCCAGATGCACGCTGCTTCCTTGCCACGGAGACAGCCCTCCCCACCCCAGAAGGACCTTTGGTCTCCTTGTGTGTGGTCTGCCTGGCTTACCTTGAGGGGAGAGTGGGGGGTATCAGGTATAACCTGGGCCTGAGGCTTGTGCTGGCAGGTGGGGCGGGAGGAGGTGGGGGTTCTGACTTAAGAGAGAAATGTGAGCCCCTCAGCCAGTAGTCAGGAAAGGAGCCAGCTGGGAACAGATAGTGGGGGTCCAGGGAGGGGCATTACCCAGAGGTGCCGTTGCATTGATGTACATGTATGTATGTGTGGTGGGTGATTGTAGGTGCCCCCTACCTGGCCACCTCCCGACTCTTAAGGGGTTCACTGGTCAGATGAACCCAGATGGGAGAAGTGATCAGGACAATGGTGAGGTTGTCCATCTGGCCCTCCCCAGCTCACTCCTGACTGTGGGGGACACCCTGCACTGGGAAAGGTGTGACTGGTACGTGAGAGGGTCATTGGAGTACAGAGACCTACAGAAGCTGCAGGGGGAGCTCTGACTGGAGGAGTAGTTAGTGCTCCCCCCACCCCACCCCTACCCATCTGTCTCAGGCACCAGAGAGACTAACAGGAGACACGCACCCTGCCTCCAGGAGCTCAATGAGGGGAGAAAAGACACTCTCTTATAATAATAATAATGACAATAATAGCTAGTATTTATTACCTACTCTCTGCCAAAAGCCCTAAAAGCAGACTGTTTATTTAATCTTTGCCCCGTGGTTACACTTCTTGTACAGATGAAAAAAACTGAAGCCCCAGACAATGTAAGCCACTTGCTCCAAATGGCGTGGTAAATGGTAGAGCGAGGCATTGAACCCAGCCTGTGCTCGTAACCACTGTGCCTTGAAGGGGCCTGAGACCAAGCAGAAACTAGCCCCGAAGCAGGTGTGGGAATGAGGTCATACTGTGGGAAGCCAGCTGTCTTCCTGGAGGAGGTGGCCCCTAAGTGGAACACAGGGCTTCACCTCAGAACTCAGAATTGAGGTCAGAGGGAGCACCGGCAGGTGTCCTAAAGAGGCTCTCTCTTTTTCTCCGCCCTCTCAGGACACCCACCTCCCCCTAATGGGGCACTGGGAGAACTGGCCTGAAAATAGGCAGGCGCCTGGCTAGGACACAGAGTGGCCCTCACACAGCACTTCTGCGGCCAGCTGTAAACACTTTACATACCTACACTCATTTCATTCTCGCAACAACCCTATGAGGCCAGGACTCTGATTATCCTCCCATTTTATAGAGGTGGAAACTGAGGCACAGAGATGCTAAGTGACTTTTCCAAGCTCACATAGCTTGTGAGTAGCAGACCCAGGACTCAGTCACGAATATGGTTTAGACTCAGTGTTTTATTGCTACACCACGCTTCCTTGAGTGTGTGTGTGTGTGTGTGTGTGTGTGTGTATGCATGTGTGTGTACATGTGTATGCATGTGTGTATGCGTGTGTGTGTGTGTGTGTATGCATGTTCCTAGGCGTGGAGGCAGCTGACTGAGCTCTCCCCAAAGGAGGGCAGTGAGCTGCCTGCCCTCTCCCTGTGGACGGACGAGGTGAGTCTTACCATCTAATGGTCTGCCTGCCAGTGTTCTGAGCGGCTGTGTGAGCTTGAGCGAATTCCCAGACCTCTCTGTGCCTCCGCTGGTTCACCTAGGACGTGGGATAGAGCCAGGTGATGGGGGTGTTGGGAAGGTTGCAGGTTCTTGAACAATGGTTGCTGTTAATTTTTTTCACCCACCCTACTTATCTCCCCCACCTCCCGCAATACCTACGCCTTTCCTGCCTCCGAAAGGTTTGAGACTGGCTCCTTGGCCAGCCTGGGCTGTGCTTCTAGACCCCTGGGAGCCAGGCGCAGGACAGGGCCCATCACTCAGCACTAAGCCGCCCCCAGCTCTGCCTGCTGCTCTGGGCTCCATCCATCACCTTTAATTTTATTTGAGCAGGAAATAGGTCCTGGTGGTGCCCGTTTATGAGCGAACACAGTTTTATTGCTTTCTACATGAAGATAACGGCCACTGCACAGGCCCCCTGCCAGCCTCCGCACCCCCACCTCCTCTGAGTCACCGAGCTAATTCACTCCCTTTTTTGACACTCAGAATCACCGACTCTGCCTCCCTCTCCCCTCTCCCTGAGTTAGGGATCCGCAGAGACACGGACTGCGGGCTCCCGCAGCATAATTACTATCTCTGGCCTGTCCTGGCCATCCCCGGGGCAGAGGCTGGCACAGGGGCCTTCCCTCACCCCTACCCAGGGCGTGTGGGAGCAGGAAAGGGCCAGTTTTGGAGCTTTCTTGGGCCGATCAAGGCAGTAGCCTGTAGAGAAACTTCAGTGTGAGTTAGGGGTATGTCTCAAGCAGGGTCCTGGCAAAAAACATACTCAGCTGGGAATTCGAAGAGAATTTAATGGAAGGACCACTAACAGAGGCTGGCCAGGGCTAAGGGGCCAATAAGGCACATAAAACACCAAGGCCTACAACTGTGGGAAGCTTAGCATCCCTAAACCCAAGTGGGGCAGGGATGGGGCTATGGGGCTCCCATGACAGCTGGAGGTCATGGTGATGGAAAGGTCACCCACCAGGGCTGTGGCCACAGAGGGGCGAAGGCACTGCCAGACCTCAGAATCAAGGCAGGAAGGGAACAAGGGAGAAATACCCCAGCTTTTTTCTCCATCCACCTTCCTACCTTCTGCCAGTGTCTCTCATGAGTAAAACCCAGTAGAGGGTAGGGAGCCAAGGGATGCTGTCCACAGGGGTCAGAGCTTTATGGGGTGCAGAGCAGGGCAGAGGAGTGAGTGAAATCATTAAATTCAGAACAATTACCAGACACCTGGGCTAGGGCTGTGTCAGGAGCTAGGAATGCCAATGAGACCATAGAGGGGGTGGCGGGTGTGTGTGTGTGTTGGGGAGAAGCAGTGACCCCTCACCACAGGGCTGAAGACGTCAGCTCAGGGGCCTAGGAGGTACTGCTGAGGGAGGTCAGAGCCACCTCTTCTGCCTGGGATGTGGCATCAGGAAGGCTTCCAGAGAGAGGTGACACGGGCCAGGCCTAGAAAAACAGGCGGGTGGAGAAGGGGGATGGAGGACCCTCCAGGAAGGGAGGACAGCCAGGCACCACCTTGGAGGTGGGGCCAGGCCAGAGGCCTCCGAGCTACACAATGTCCTAAGGAAGCCAACTCTTGAATTCTGACCCCTATAATTCCGAGTTTGGGGCTCTGGGTTACACGGAGAGGGCAGGAGCAGATGAGTCAAGGAAGGAAGGGGTTCAAGGGAGATGCCTGGTGTCAACAAGATTTCCTCTGTAAACCAGAAAGCTGGGGTGGCTTCAGGGAGCCTGTTGCTGCCTGGGGGCCTTCCAACGGCCTCCATTTACCCACAAGCAGCGGATTTGCTTGTGACAAATCATTCTGGTCTCTTTAGCTGTATCCCACGCCCCCAGTCTCTACCTGTCTGTTAGCTTAGTTCTAATTATACGAGAGTCATAAAATGCTTTTAAAATAGCCTATCGCTCACAATTCTTGGAAACTCTGACAGGTGCCTCTTGAGTAATGTTGAACGTGGGAGCTTTCCTGGCAGGCTGGGGTTGCTAAAGGGAGACCAAGGCCAGAGCTTGGCGTGGGGGAGTTCTGGCTGAGGTGGTGTCCTGAGCCCCAGCCCTGGCCTCAGGGAAAGGGTATTATTTGGAGAAATCGGGGTGGGGCAGCAGCAGGGCTCCCATTGTAACAATGTTGTTGTTGTTTTTAATTGGGGAACAGTGTGTTTTTCCAGGACCCATCAGGTCCAAGTCAAGTAGTTGTTTCAATCTAGTTGTGGTGGGCGCAGCTCAGTGGCCCATGTGGGAATCGAACCGGCAACCTTGGTGTTATGAGCACTGCGCTCTAACTAACTAAGCTAACTGGCCGCCCCGACTCTAGATTGAAAACAACTACTCAACTTAGAGTGACGATGTTTTTGAAGGCTCACGATGTACCAGGCACTTCACATGCTTTGTCTCCTAATCTTCACACCGCAGACCTGGGAAGTCATTGCGGTTCTCGTTTTACAGATAAACAATCTGAGGCCCAGGGAGGGTCAACCCTGGGTCCCATAGCTGGTGGAAGGCAGAACTAGGATTTGAACTTGAGTCTGTGTAGTGCAGAACCTGAGCGCCTTCTCATACGCCATGATGTGATGCGCTAGCCCTCAGCTCCACCCCAAGCTGCTGCCTTCAGTTCGAGCCCTGCCTCGGACCTGCATTCCACCACTTTGAGGAGGGCCCATGACTACCCTCTCCGAATCTCAGCTTTCCGGTCTGTAAGATGGGGGCCCAGCCGTCCTTGCCGGCCGCTGCTGTTGCCAGGATGCAGGAGCTAATGGATTCATGAGCAGCTCTCCTCAGCCCCGTGCGCCCGCATCCACGTGGAAGGGTGGCTGTTAGCTTGATTACAGGCACCGCTGCTGTTTCCGGGAGGGGAAGTGTTTAATTGGGGGTTTTATTTCCAGCACCAGGGTCTGACTTAATGAAGTATCCCTGGGCCTCCTGGCATGTAGCCTGCTGCCTCCTGGTGTTGACAAGACCGGAGCCAAGCCCCTGACTGATTTACTAGCAGCTCCTGGGCCAGATAAAGCTGGGCTGATAAGCAGGGCTGTGCCCCGACCCACTCTACCTCCAGCCGAGATGGGCATCTGGGGACCACAGCCCAACCAGGAACCAGCCCTGGCTTTTAATATTTGCTGCTAATGAAGGATAATTGACAGACGCACTCGTATAGACTCTCCCCGGGTCGCAGTGATCCCCTGACACTGCCAGTAACACACACATCTGTTCACCTACCACCTCCCCATCTCCCCCAGCTGGCCCTGAACAGAGGGTCCAGGAACCGTGCAGCCTGCCGGAGGGTCCCCATTAGTAAGAGGACCTATGGGAAGACACGGGCCAATCCAAGCCTACAGGAAGGACAGAGGAGAAATGGCACATGGCCATTGTTGACAGTTAGCAGCACAAGTGGCTGCTAATTTTGGTCTTTGGAGGCCAAAAGCTGGGGGTTTGAATCCTGACTCTCCTTCCTGGCTGGATGACCTTCGGCAGGTCGCTTGGCATCGTCGAGGCTCAGCTTCTTCATCTGTAAAATGGGATTAACTGTGCCCACCTTGTCAGGTGGCTGTGATGCTCAAAGGTGTCAGGCATACAGCAGGTGTTCAACAACCGATTCTGTGAGGGCGAAGCCTGCAGGGCGGGGGTGTGTGTAAGGGGCACAAAGGGCGGGAACCGGCAATTGTGGAGTGCCAGGTCCTGAGCCAGCTGTGGTGCCATTAGGGTCACACTGCCGTGGGCCGAGTCCTGGGTAAAGGGGCCGTTTGATGGTTTGTGCCCCATTGCCGTGTCCTCTCCCTTCCCCAGCCCCCTCTGCCTCCCTCTTTTCTCACCTCAAAACGGGCCACCAGAGAAGGCTCCGCCATCTGTGCAGTCCCGTTCCCCGTGGAGTCAGCCGTCCCCCGTCACTGCTCTGGGGTTATCGACCACTGTTTGGCTGTGTGTCAGACTTGTCCCCTGGTGAAGAATCCCAGGCATCCACCCAGCAGATAACAGGAGCATTCGGGGGCCTGAGCGGGGCCCTCCAGTGGCTAAAGTCAGACCAGGTCCCTTCCCTTTTCTGCCTTTGTCCTTGCCTCATCCTGTCCCATGATTGCATTGGGGGTGGGAGGATCTGGGAACACTGCTCTTCCCGCACTCTTCCAGGTGAAGTCTCTTTTAAAATGCAGGTCCTTCTAGAACAGCGGTTCTCAACCTGTGGGTCGCGACCCCTTTGGGGGTCGAACGACCCTTTCACAGGGGTCGCCTAAGACCATCGGAAAACAAAAAGATACTTACATTACAATTCATAAAAGTAGCAAAATTACAGTTATAGAGTAGCAACGAAAATAATTTTATGGTTGGGGGTCACCACAACATGAGGAACTGTATTAAGGGGCATTAGGAAGGTTGAGAACCGCTGTCCTAGAAGGAGTGATGCTGCGAGCTGCCTTACCTCACTGTATTAGCAGATACTTCTGTCTCCTGAACAGAGACCTGGTTCAGGGTTTGTTTACGGCAGGGAGCAGGAGAAAGAAGAGCCCGCGGGGAGGCTGCAGTGGGTGACTGGGAATCGGCATTAAGGAGGGGCATGGGTCTGACTGGCCGGCCCTGCAGGTGGCTGACGGAGTGGGAAGAGGGCTGTCACCAGATGCTGCAGTAAAGGCCCCTGCACAACACAGCGGTGGGTGAGTGGGCGGAGGTTTTGTGAACGGCAAACTAGAGCCCCTGTCCTGGATGGCTGTGTCCCTCCTGGGCCCAAGCCGGGCAGGCCCCGGGGCTGGCAGCACTCCCATCTCGCATGCATGTAATGAGCCTCTTCCCAAGATGAGTTCTTACGGCTCCCTCTCCACCTGGAAACTTCTGCTCCACCACTGCCGCCCAGGGCCTCGGCGGCTTCTCCATTCGCCCTCCCTCACCCTGCTTCCTCCCACAGCTGGGGAAGCTGACCTTTCAAATCTTTTCGTCCCTTAGAATTTTAAAATCATCTAAAATTTGCCCTGGCTCCAGTGTCCCTCCTTGGTCCCTCTATGCTACCCCTGCCTGTTTTGTCCCCAGTTTTCTAGCCCTGGGGTCAGACTCACATTTTCCTGCAGGGAGACGGTAACCGCTTTATCCCGTCTTGTGACCTCACAGCAAACCTGGGGGCTACAAGCCACCCACATCCCTGGGTAGGAGGACTGTAGGGCATGGCAGGAAGACCGCCTCAGGGCCCAGATGCCCAGATGTAATGTGAATTTGCACAACTCTCCTGGGCCTCTGTTTGATCTCTCTTGGTTTGCATTTATGCTCTTCCAGTCTGAGCACTATTTTGGGTTTTTTCCGTGACAGTCTTGGTTCCCTGAAGACAGGGACAATGCTTCCTTTCTCCTTCAGACTGGAGCTCCCTGATGACAGCAGCTGGGTCTCTCCCCCTCTCACACTGGAAGGTCTCTAAGGGCGCTGCCATCTCCAAGGACATGGAGACACTTGAAGGAGGAGCTGAGTCTTTCCCCCTGTGAACGGCAGGTCGCCAAGGGCTGCATCCCTACCATTGACCATGTATTCCTCTTAAATCACATGGTCTCTGAGAATAGGACCTTGTCTCCTCCATCAGCATACGACTTCTTATGGACAGGCTGTGTCTCTCCCTCGGATTTGGATGCTGAGGGCAGGGCTGCGACTCCCCTCAGACTGGGGCTCCCTGAGGCAGGGCTGTGTCTCCCTTCAGACTGGGGCTCCTGAGGGCAGGGCTGTGTCTCCACCTCAGATTGGGGTTCCCTGAGGGCAGGGCTGTGTCTACCCATCAGACTGGGGACCCTGAGGGCAGGGCTGTGTCTACCCATCAGACTGGGGACCCTGAGGGCAGGGCTGTGTCTCCCCTCAGACTGGGGCTCCCTGAGGCAGGGCCATGTCTCCCCCTCACACTAAGAACCCTGAGGCAGGGCTGTGTCTCCCCTCAGACTGGCGCTCCCTGAGGCAGGGTTGTCTCCCCTCAGACTGGGTCTCCTCTCAAACTTGGGCTCCCTGAGAGTAGCGCTGTGTCTCCCCTCAGACTGGGGCTCCCTGAGGGCAGGGCTGTGTCTCCCTCAGACTAAGGACCCTGAGGGCAGGGCTGTGTCTCGCTTCAGACTGGGGCTCCCTGAGGGCAGCGCTGTGTCTCCCCTCAAACTGGGGCTCCCTGAGGCAGGGCTGTGTCTCCCCTCAGACTGGGGCTCCCTGAGGTCAGGGTTGTGTCTTCCTCAAACTGGGGCTCCCTGAGGCAGGGCTGTGTCTCCCCCTCAGTCTAGGGACCCTGAGGCATGGCTGTGTCTCTTCTCTGACTGGGGCTCCCTGAGGCAGGGCCGTGTCTCCCCTCAGACTGTCTCCTCTCAAACTGGGGCTCCCTGAGGCATGGCTGTGTCTCCCCTCAGACTGGGGCTCCCTGAGGTCCGGACTGTGCCTCCCTCAAACTGGGGCTCCCTGAGGCAGGGGTGTGTGTCCCC